TTAAATTATACTACAGAGCCACAGTAACAAAAATGCCATGGTATTGGCACCAAAACAGATTCGTAGACCAATGTTAAGAATAGAAGACACAGAGACAAACGCACATAAATACAGTTATCTCATACCAAACACTGGAGAAAAGTTTAAACTTCTTCAACAAAAGGTGCTGGAAATCCACGTGTAGCAAAATGAAATTAAACCCCTCCCACCCTGCACAAAACTCAAAGTGGATCAAAGACTTAGGCACTAGAACAGTGACCCCAATCTCCACCATGTCGGCCTAGGAACTGACTTCCTTAACAAGACTCCTAAAGCACAAGAAGTAAAATCAAGAATCAATAAATGGGATGGAATCAAACTAAAAAGCTTCTTCACAGCAAAAGAAACAATCAATAAAGTGAAGAGAGAGCCTACAGTATAGGATAAGATCTTTACCACATGCACCTCTGATACAACATTAATCTCCAGGATATATAAAAAACTCAAAAAACTTAACACTGAAAAAAAAAAAAAAAACAAATAACCCAATCAATAAGTGGGCTAAGGAACTGAACAGACTTCAGAGGATAAGAAATACAATCAACAAATAAATGAAAAAATATTCAACATCTCTAGCAATTAGAGAAATGCAAATCAAAACTACACTGAGGGCCTGCAGGGGTAGGGCTGTCAGGCCCTGGAACCAGCTAGGCCCCAGTGGGTGCTGTTTCTCTTTCACTTTTTTTCTTCCTGAGGCCATCATACTGGTGCTGGCCAGCGAGGAGCCACGGTGGTGGATACGGAAAAGCAGAGCTCTGGAAAGGAGTGATTATCAGAGATCTCATGATAAATCTGGTTATTAGTTCTCATGCCTCATGACATCCTATTGGGAACACCATACCAGCTCCTGGAAACAGATGTGCATCCACTTAGTACCTCTGTTTGTTTAAGCTACTAAAGCCAGCTAACTACAAATGGCTACCCAAAGGAAACATTTGGTGAAAGATTTTAATCCTTATGTTACGTGCTATATCTATAAAGAGTATCTGATCAAGCCAACTACAGTGACAGAACGCCTCCATACCTTTTGTAAGATTTGTATTGTCCAGCCCTTTGAAGATAGCAATGATTGTCCAAGATGTGGCAACCAAGTTCATGAGCAAATCAATTAGAAATGTTGAGATTGGATAATACATTGGAGGAAATTATATTTAATCTAGTACCTGGGCTATGAGAACAAGAATTTAAGCGTGAATTGGCATTTTGGAAGAAAAATAAGCCTCAAAAAAATGGGCAAGGGAATGGGGATATAACTCAGTTAGTAGACTTCTTGCCTCTCATGCTCAAGGCCCTAGGTTCAATCCCCAGCACCACCAAAAACAAAAGGGGGGGGGGCAAGATGATGCTTTAAAAGTCAACAAATTTAAAGCAAAGAAGGTGATGAAAATCAAGATGATAAAGACTATCATAGAAGTGACCCACAAATTGCTGTCTGGATTGTTTATGAAATAATGGACAATCAGGACACAATGTAGTAAAGGCTCTAATGAAGAAATTCATTCAATGTTCTACATGTGTAACTGTGGGAACTACTAAAAAGTCTAAGTTTAAAACTAAAACTTCCAAGTTCTTATGAGTTGCATATGCAGTGCAATGGTGAAATTATGGAGAAGGATCATACTATGGAATTCATCTATATGATAAGATGGTGACTAAGAGGAGAAAACTTTCGGTGTCTGAACTGCTCAGCATCACAAGTCTGCTCTCAGGATGGCCCTCAGTATCAGTCATACCCTACGGTATTGCAGTATCAACCAAGAATTGATTTTGGTTAGACCAAGGAGCCTAGATTTCACTGAAATGAATCCTGCACTATTTGTTTATGTGTTGACAGATTGCACACTGAGCGGTGTTGGACTAGAGGGACACAGATTCTCAGCATACAAATAAGGCCACTGTCTGTTTCTAACATTGTCAGTTACATTCATGTTGTTTCTATTAAGAGCAAACCAAGTATCATTCTGCTACAGAACTAGGTAATAAGGTAAATTGTGCTGTCTCACAGTATGCATGTCATAGCTGGAATCAGGTATGCAACCATGATTCATCCTTCAGAATATTTTTCTTGCCTATTCCAAGATTGTTTAAATATGCTAGTAAAATGGCTCAACCTTTGTGGTGTTGCAGTTTTCATATATTTAACCATTTTATTCTTGTTTAAATAGGGTGCTACATAAGAACCTAATAATTATATCTTGAAATTATTTTATATAGAACTGTATTTAGAAAAGTGGTTTCTGAGCCACTGTCCTAGTCTTTGTAAGCTTTTTGTGTAAGAAACAGTTCATTTTTGAGTGTGCAAGTCCTTTTGTGAAGAATTCCAATTATCTTTAACATTGGAGAACATCATAATTGTAGACATTCTAAGCATCTCTCTGTGTAGTCTACCAATTTGCACAAGGAAGGCATGTTATCCCTCCATATCAGAAGTATGAGTGACTTCTTGGACAACCTAAGTTAGATTCATAACCATTTACGATGTTGGCAGCTGATCATATTTACTTCTAATAAAAGTAATGTGTAAGTGAGGTTGATCTTTCATAATGCCTTGTGATAAATGGGTGCTGCTCAATGAAACTTCATTGTATAGCCCATTTGATGTATACATCATTACTTTGTTGCTGTCATTTAATTTTTTTTTTTTTAACTACATTGAGATTCCATCTCACTCATGTCAGAATGGCAATTATCAAGAATACAAGCAACAATAAATGTTGGTAAGGATGTGGGGAAAAAGGTGCACTCATATATTGCTTGTGGGATTGCAAATTGGTGCAACCACTATAGAAAGCAGTATGGAGATTCCTCAGAAAACTTGCAATGGAACCTCCATTTGACTCAGTCATCCCACTCCTTGGTTTATACCCAAAGGACTTAAAATCAGCATACTACAGTAATGCAGTCACATCAATGTTTATAGCAGCTCGATTCACAATAGCTAAACTATAGAACCAATCTAGATGCCCTTCAACAGATGAATGGATAAATAAAATGTGGTACATAAACAGAATGGAATGTTATTCAGCCTTAAAGAAGAGCCAATTTTTGGCATTTGCCTGTAAACGGATGGAACTGGAGAATATTACGCTAAGCAAAATAAGCCAATCCCAAAGAACAAAAGGCCAAACGTATTCTCTGATAAGCAGATGCTAATTCACAGTAAAGGAGGGGTGTGTGGAATTAGAGATACTTTGAATTAGAAGGGAGTGAAAGGAGAGCAGTATGGGGGTAGGAATGATAAAATGAATTAGATATTATTGTGCATATATGATTATGCAACCTGTGTAACTCTACATCAAGTACAACTACAAGAATGAGAAATTATACTTCATTTATGTCAAAATGCATTCCACTGTCATGTATAACTAATTAGAATTTTTAAAAATTTTAAAAAAACCTAATCTGACTATCTATGGTGACTATATTTAACCCAAAGGCCAACCAAGCTCTGTGTGTGTATAAACATTTATTAATCTATATATATACTTGATATATATGACTACATGAGACATATACATCTGAAACATATATAAAATTGTGTTCAGTGTGTGACTTGAGTGTTACAGATATTAGAAATTAAGGTTGAAATAGAGGGGGCTAGGGTTGTGGCTCAGCAGTAGAGTGCTTACCAAGAAGGTGCAGGTCACTGGATTCTATCCTCAGCACCACATAAAAATAAAGTTATTGTGCCCAACTACAACTAAAAAACAAAATATTAATTAAAAAAAAGATTGAAATATAATAGGAGGTGGGGCTGTAGCTCAGTAGTAGAGCACTTGCCCTGCATACATGAGGCACTAGGTTCCATCCTCAGCATTACATAAAAATAAATTACTAAAATAAAGATACTGTGGGGCTGGGGTTGTAGCTCAGTGGTAGAGCGCTTGCCTAGCATTAGTGAGGCACTGGGTTGGATTCTCAGCAACATATAAATAAAAATAAAGGTCCATCAACAACTAATAAAATATTTTTTTAAAATAAAGATATTGTGTCCATCTACAACTAAAAAAAAATTTTAAAGATTGAAATAAAGAATTTGTGATTGCCTGAGTCATGACTCAGCCAAGCAAACCACCAGTATTTTCAGTGAATTAAAGCTGATCAAAGTTATGTAGCGTGTGAAATTATTATTCACTACATTGTGACATTGTGGAAAGGCACAAACGTTGTAAAGTCCATGTTAATGGCATAATTCCCTCACAACAGTGTTGATTCTGTAAGCTGATCATAAATAGTCCTATTTAAAGATTATCAAAAAACCTGCAGCCACTACAAATGTTTAGTTTCTCGGATAAGATTTCCCCGAAGTTCCAGATTGTGTAGTTTCAATATTCCAGCCTCATCCATTTACCAGCTCTGAAAAGAACACCTAAGTACTTGGAGCTGTTCAGCTATTTTTCATCTTCTATCATGAAACTACGACGTTGCTTTCTAGAATATGTTTTAAGGATGCTTCCTCGTCCGTCAACCCTCCAGTTTTGAGAACCTCCCTCTAAGGTGAACAAAAGCAGTGGAGAAAGTAGCTAGGGAGACTTGAAGCCAGACGCAGCGCAGCCCGCAGCACGGCGCTCCTGCCTCTGCGGTCCTGCAAGACCCCGGCCCCAGCTCTCTGGAATACAGCAATCGCCTGACAGATGGGAGAAACGACGGCACAAAATGCTGCGAGAATCCTCGCGAATCGAGAAATGTTTCCTCCCCCAATATACTAGATGAGGGGTTAGCAGAGTTACTCCCGGAAGGGCTGCGGGGCAGGCAGTCCCGCGAGCACTCGCCGCGCAGGGTCCCTTCTCAGCAGCTCCTAGCGCCAAGCACTGCGGCAGGGGCGGGGCGTCACGTGACTCGGGTGCGGTCTCGGGCGCAGGCCCTCCCCGCGGGCCCGCCCCGAGCAGGTCAACGTGGATGCGGGCGACAGAGGCTGGAGCAGCTGTCAGGAACCCCCCGAGGATCAAGGCGGCGGTTACCGGGTAGAGGTAGAGCACTGCTCCGACCAGCGCCAGCAGGAAGGTCACAGCGAAGATCGCGAAGTCCAGCATGGTTCTCCGTCCAGGAGCCACGTCCCGGATCCTCGGCTCTGGCCGCAGCGCCCCAGCCTGGCCCAACCAGAGGAATTCTGTGGGCGGAGGCTCCCGCGGGCCTCGCGACGTATGGACCGTCGGGGGCGGGACCAGGCCTGCGCCCGGCCCGCGGGGAGAGCAATGGATCGCCGAGGGGCCGGTCGAGGCCCTGCCTCTCAGGATTCGGGCGGACTCAACTGTGGACCGTGCTGTGGGAGAGCAGAGCCCAGGCTTCCAAGAAACGTTTTGAGTTAACTTTGATTGGCCCCAACCAATACTTTTTCCGGTGGACTTAAAAGAAGAAGAAAACAAAAAGCAACTACAGAAAAAACACTAAACCAACGGTTTTTTAAAAGTGTGGGGCCAGCCGCTGCCATCGCCACCTTGAGAAATGCAGATTTTTTCGATTCCCGCACCACACCTATTGAGTTCCGCGTTACAGCAACTTGAAGAATGATGCTATCTATATTGGGGGCTAAGCATTGATCTTTGTTGCCGGACATTTGGCAGTGGCAATAGCTAGATCAGCTTTGGTGAAAATTCATGCTATTGTGACAAGTGCAGCCTCCATTTTTTATATTGTGGCCATTCCTTTCTTGTGTTCATTTTGAAGAGGCCAATGAAGGGGGTGCCTGACATGAACTGGATTGCTCACTTTGTCCACTTGATTGATTAGTGCCTCTTTCAGGGTGGATGTTCTGTGGTGGGTGTTAATATGTGTGATTTTCATACTTTTCTTGTTTCACATACCCATGTACATACCCTCTATCCCAGAGATTCCTGTCCCCAGTCTTTTTTAAATAACATTTTTTATATTGTATTTCACTTATTTTTATGTGGTGCTAAGGATCGAATCCAGCGCCTTACACGTGCTAGGAAAGCACTCTGCCACTGAGCTATAACCCCTCCACCCTGTCCCCAGTCTTCTTAACATCTTTTTTTTTTTTTTCCATTTGTGCCTCTGACCAGCTCCCTGAGCATTCATGACTGTATGATTCTGTACGATTTTGTATATAGTCTAGCCCAAAGTGAATGCATGCTTTATCACTAAAGACTGTCCAATTGAGATGGTTCTCCTGTGCTACCATCTTTCAATACCACCCATAAGTAAGGTTTCAGTTCGGTTGCTACTCATTTTTGGCTTTACTGAACATTCCATTTGTACAATGAGTTTTGGCTTTTTTCCTCCTCATCTACCTGACCATACAGAATCTCCTGTAACATCTCAGCATGTACTGGTGCGACAATGGTCTATTTATGGAATCCGGGCTACTCTTGCCTATGTCCTGTGGTCTTTAAGATTTGGGGATCTTGGGCTGGGGATGGAGCTCAGTTGGTAGAGCATTTACCTAGCAACTGGGGGGAAAATTGGTAGTCTGACAATTAGTCTTCACAGCTAATGAAGGCAAGGGTTGAGAAAGTTTCTTGGGAATAAGATATTAACTGCATTTTATGTCGACATATTTTCAAGGATGTTTAGAAAGCAGATAACCTTGGAAGGTGGAGATACTCTTCTGAAATAGAAGGCAAATTTGCTTACTCATTAGTAAAGATAAAGTCTCCTTCTAGAGCAGAGGATGAGAGGTTTGATTGTAGCTCATTATAAAAAAATTCAACTTTTCTAAGCTCAGATTCTTTAGCTGTGACATGACTATAAAATGCATTTTTATGCTTTAATCTAGAAGTATATAGTTGTGGGTTTTATACTTAGAACTAGTTTAAAGTTAATTTTTAAGATGAAGGTGAGAGATCATTGTATTACATATGGATAACCAGTTCTAGCACCCTGTGTTGCAGAGAATGTACTTCCCTCATTGAATTGTTTTAGCATACTTGAAGACAATTCATCAAATATTTATGGGTGCAGATGAAGCCTTCTATTTTTTCTGTTCATTTACATATCTACGCTTATGCTATTTCTACTGTCTGGAATATTATCATACATTGTTTTGAATTTCAATTTTTTATTACTAGGACATAGAAATACAATTTATTTCTGTGTATTGACCTTATATCCTGTGACTACTAGGTTCATTTATTAGGATTGTTTTGTGTGCAGATTTCTTAGGATTTTCGACACACACACACAAAAAAATATGTTAACCACAGAGGATTATTTTTCTGTTAATGTAAGAAAACTATAAGAAATAAAAGAACAAAAGCTGTCTCCAAAGACAATGAGCGCTGTAAATCAATATCCATATTACAAATTAGCAAATTTACATTGTAATTTATGTCACTTTTGTGAGCTTGTGCTAATCAGCATTCCTAAGCTTGATCATTTTTAGGATAGTTAATGGGGTCAGATCCAGATCCTAAACCATGGGGAAGTTCATTAAGGTAAAACTGTCCTGAGAAAGTCTGTACCTGAAGTCCATATGCCTCATTATAGATCTAATTGATAAAAGACTATTTAAACACAAATACTCCCATATACTTTTTTTCTTTTTTGTGGTGGTAGGGACTGAATGTAGGGCCTTGTACATGCTAGGCATATGCTCCACAACTGAATTACATACCAGCCTCCTCCCCTATGCTTTACTCTCTAGATTGCTATGTAAATAGTTAAACTTTTTATTTAAAGGACAAGAAAAAGTCTCTGCATGTTCAGCACAGATGCATTTGTTTTTAAATATTGGGAGGAGGGTAACAGGATAGAACTCAGGGCATCTCAACCACTGAGCCACATCCCCGGCCTAATTTTCTATTTTATTTAGAGACAAGGTCTCACTGAGTTGCTTAGCGCCTTGCTTTTGCTGAGGCTGGCTTTGAACTCTCAGTCCTCCTGTCTTAGCCTCCCAAGCCACTGGGATTACAGGCCCGCGCCATCACAACTGGCTGTTTTTAATTATTTTTGATCTGCAATTGGTTATTGAATCCATGGATGCAGAACCCTTTGGCACAGATGGTGGCTTGTATGAATATATGATACAATTGATCATATAAAAATGACTTTTTGAGTCTTTGTAGACTATCTCAAAATTTTGTACCCAAATAATTTAAGTTCCAGATGATCTGCATATTCCCTATCACATGCAAAATTTGATGAAATTTTTAGGCCACCAATGTTCATTTCAACCTCTTCGAAGATGTGCCAAAGTTATGCAACCAAGTCCTTATTTTCCCATTTGTAAATGATTTTGTGATGTACCTGGAGGGCATTCTGACAAAATGCTTACATTGGATTTTGGAACAATAGATCTAGGCTGGATAGTTAAATTAATCATCATTATATCATAAGCATTTGAATGATTTGGTACACTGATTTTTTTTACACAATACTTTTATTTTATTTATTTATTTTTATGTGGTGCCAAAGATCGAACCCAGGGCCTCGCACGTGCTAGGCGAGTGCTTTTACAGCTGAGCCACAATCCCAGCCCATAAAACGGTCCATCTTTTAAAAAATTTCTGTCTTACTAAAACATGAATAATGATAATTCATAAATTTTCTGTAGCCTTTCCCTAACTTTTTCAGTGATGACAAAGTTATAAGTAAGCCACCTTTGAATGAATACACATTTTAGAAAATATGTCAAATACTAATCAGGTAAAGAGTTTTACAAGAATTGAATAGACTTAAAATCATTCTACATCCAGCAGCGAATAGTTTAAAAAAATCTGGATAAAAGAAGTTTTAAAAGATGTTTAATTTCATATTTTCAAAAATTGAATGTGAGAGTACATGACAAGAAAATATAGGTTCCAGTATTATTGTGTGAAACAAACACATTTATTTAATGCCTGATATTATGCTACAGACTTGTTCTACAAAAGCAAGGAAGTTTTAAGTAAGCCTATAACCTGGCTTTGATTGTCCAGTGACTCAGAAATCTCCAGATGAATTAATGCAGAAATTTTTAATTCTAGTGACATGTCTTTAATAAATCTTAGTACTGTAAGTGGTAGTAGTCAAGGATAAAATTCATTTCTATTGTCTTATTATTTTGGATCTAGAGATAAAAAAGTATAGGCAAGAACGTGAAACAGTTTGAATTCTGTCTTATGGTAGATTAGGTTCTATTAATCTTAACAAAAACAGGATTAGGTCAATATTTAGATTGTCAAAAGTTTCTGGAAAATGGCTGGGAGTGGGGTGTAAATCAATGGTAGAGTGCTTGCTTGAGGCCCTGGGTATCATCCCCAGCACTGGGAAACAAAAGAGAAGTTGATGGAGAAAAGATTTTAATTGTGAAAGGAAATAAGGTTAAAAAAAAAAAAAACCTAATGTATTATTTGATTAACTACATGTAGAGAGTTACAATATATGATCATTTGATAAGGGCAAAAAATGCAAAATATTTTTGAGGTGGTTTTGGAATTAAAGGCTATTGTGTATGTATGACAAAATCTGATTAATTAAAATAATATTTATTTTGTGCACATAGGACTACCAAAGAACTTCTACTCATACAAGAAATAAACAATGGCCTGTTTATTTTCTGCTTAACAAAGAATTTTGCCAAAGCCAAGTTCTAAACAGACTATAGATAAATCAACTGTTGAAGGTAACATTTTTTATTTGATTCAAACTGATTTTCATATACAAAGCGAATTTATTATGTACAAAATAAATGTACATTTTTTAAAAGTGTTAGAATACAAATTTCCAAGGGACTAAAAAAGTGCAAAATCTTCAATTATTATCTTTGATCACACTATACAGAAACAAATCAAACATTAACTCATGTACACACATAGAATCTTTGAAACACATCACTTAATGGAACAAAACATACATCTTAATATTCTTAATTTTAGAAGGACAAGGAGGGAAAGAATGTATTGCACCAAACTAACAGCAAGTTTGTTATACTAATCAAAATTATTTACATATCTTTAAGTCTAAAACTTCCTCAAAAACTTTTTTTTTTTTTTTTTTTGGCATACAAATACCCAGTTAGTCACAGTTTGCACAGTCAATTATTAGATATAAATAAGGCTTAATGTTCTCTGTTTCATGGTCAATTCCAGTAGAATAAATGAGAAGGAACACTTTAAAATAAATACGCAACTTTGTGAATTTCTTAAATATTTAAGT